GCTGGAAGCTGTCTGACTCACAGTGGTTCAGACCAGACGCCTTTGGTAACCAGCCTTAGCCCAGATAGACAGAGCTCTGCATCAGASTGAACATCTGTGGGATTTTTTGGTCCATAAAATGAAAAAAGCAAGCAAACTCTCTTTTGTGGATTTTTCAGATTTAAAGCAGCAGCCATGTTAGTTTATGATCCTCCGTCTGTATAAAGTGCAGTTTGTAGGACGCTATGCCTTTACTACGTCTTGTTCCAAACAAAATGTTTCTAAAGCATTTCTCAGTTTTCTTCAATTGTTGTGGCAGCTGACAAATACACAAGTTGAACCTGAACTCATGATTGAACTGCTCAAGCTGCCAGTTAAAGCAAAAACAAACTAAATTTGTTGTTATCATAACTATCTGAATGAATGAATTTCTTGCGCACTGGAAAGACCGAACAGTCGGGAGGGTTGTGGGCGGGGCTAGTGTCTGTCATGGCAGCCTACATGCGCGTTTCCAGGAACTTGGAAATGTTACAAATGTTACAAATAATCATGACAATAAAATTTTAAAAAGCTGAGAAAATAATTGATATTTTTGGCACAACACCATTGCTGCGGTGCATCAGAGCTGGTTGGAAGGTGGTTATTTAAATTTATTTAGTTGTTATTTTACATCTTACAGGCTCTGAGACAAAAAAAATTGAAGTTGAGTTTTTGAAAAATATCTGAGATTTCTCTGCTTTCCTGCAAAATGGGGGGTAAAATCCATGGAATTTACGGACAATCTGTACAAGTCGACATGTATGAAAAARCAGGTCATAAAGGAAGTTCACATTCTTTCAGTGTTGCTGCAGCTGCATGCTGAGAAGAAGAGTCTCTGCCACATATTTATTTAAAACAGAACAGAAGCAGCGTTAACGCAGTAATTTGTGCCAGGTTTGTGAGGTGATTTGTCAGCTTTGAAGCTGAGGGAATTAAATTCAAACCTCTGTAATCTGAGTTGGAAGGGAAAGAGTCGCACAAAATGAAAGGAAGGGTGAAACAAAATCAGACTGTACCATCCATCCAGTCGTGTTGGATCTTCGTTTTTAAAAGACTTTTCTAGATATTTGGTTGATGCTGTATTTTTGGTTTTGTTTTGTTTTTTTAACAGGAACACACCCGATCCACTTCAGGAGAAACAGGGAGATGGGTGTAGCCAGGATTACATCCAGGCCTTGTCAGCTTTGTGTGTCCGCATGACTAATTATGGCACAAGGTCAGTGATTCCCATCAATGGCACTTATTTTTTAAAGTTTCAAAAACAGTTTTTGTTTGATTTTATCTGTGGCAACTGATAAAACTGTGTTAGGTAGATAGTTTGCTGAGAATTGGGGATTTTAAGAACATCAAAATCTCTAATGTAATCAGTCCTCCGCAGCTTTGATGGCGTGGTGAGTTATCAGATCCAGAAGCTCTCTTGTAGCCAAAAAGTGAGAGGCTGCGTTTTTATCAGTGCCAAAAAGGAGCATCATTTGGCACTTAAGCCACGTTTCTCACACTCTTCTGAATCTCTCTTTATGTGTAGCATTTAACATGTAGTTTTTACAATAATTAGAGTTTGTGTTTTCATCCAGGGCCAACACTGTAATCCTGATAGATGCAGAAGGGAATGTCACATTCACGGAGCGCACCATGCTCGACTGTGACACAAGCAAATGGAGCACTAGGTCCTTCCAGTTCCAGCTCCAGGCGTGACGACATGGAGGGTCTCCCACTCTGTGCCTTTCTGCAACACCTTTCCTTCCATCCTGCTCAGCCCCTCTGCTGCGCCGCCACTTCCCCATAGCAGTGAAGTGACAGTGAAAACTTGTCTGCACTTTTTTCCTTCAGCTGGTCACTAGCTGCCTGATAAACAATAGCAATATGAATTTCTTGCTCTTGGTTTAAGTTAAAATGGATTTTTTGAGAAACGTTTGATCGTTAAACAAAAAAATAAATAAATAATAAATGCCAAAGGACGTTTTTCATTTTGTTTGGAAAGTACGGTACTTTGCCTACGTCTCAAAAACAAGAGTTGGTTGGCTCAAAAAATGTCTCATCTGTTTTGGAAAGTTTTCTACTATAACATACTTCACGTGTATTTTCCACTGGTTGAAAAGATTTTTTTATCAGTTTATGTTGAAAATTGGTTTTCCAGGAGCCATCGTAAATGAGGGTTACTCTCTACCTTTTAAGGTCTCTGATCATTCCAACACTCAGCCACAACACAAGTTTTGGTGTTAAATGCAAAATGCTCCAAATGACAGATTTTTGACCTCCTCAGTGGTTAAATGTGTTTAAAAATTAGCATAACATTTATTTGACAAAAAAAGGATATCCAGACTCCTCGTTTTGCTCTTATCTAAAATATATAATGAACATTTATTTAAGGATAAATTGCTTCTAAGTTGAGGCTTTTTATTTGTTTGTTTTATAATTTTATTTTGTTTTCAAAATTATTTATCCTCCATTAAAAGCACCGTTTTTACTTTGTTTTGCTGAACTTTTTAATTACGTGTTGTGAATGGTGTAGTTGAGTGTGGCTATGATACTAATGTCAACAAAAAAAACTATTTAGTAATCTCAAAAAGGCGTTTTAATTGAGGTGGTGTGCAAGAACATAGCCTGAATAACGTTGCGGTACATAAACACATGGAGCACCTTGTGATCAGAAAGGTGCTCCCGTTTCACTTTCTGAAGTTTTAAAGTACACTAAAACTTTATACTAAAATATAACTCACAATCTATATTAATAGCTAGACTTGTGTTATACTTACTAGCCATATTTAAATCTTCGAGTTATTCAGTGTTTAAAACTCAACATTTAACTAAAGTACTGTATTTTCAAACTTCAATTTGGATTCATTTTAAGCAAACAGTGACACCTGCTGGCTAGTTGAAGTATTGCATATTTTAACTTTATGTTCAAAAATATCAGAAAGTTCAGAACACGATGCCCTGTTCTCAGGAGGACGAAAATCTGGACAGTAAAGTACATTTACACACAGTCTAAGACACGAAGTGTTAAATTTACATAAAACTGGTTTCACTAAACTGAGCTGAGTTTAAAAAGTAAATTTTAAATTATGTGCTATATAATTTGTTGGAACTAAGCTRGAAAAACTCAGGTCAATTAAGTTATAAAACATTATTTTTTTAATTAATTGATTGGTGCATTTTAGGAGTATTTATTTATTGGACCGTTTATATATTTCTGCTTTTATTTTTAATTATGTGAGAGAGGAAACAGTGACACTCTTTAAATTAAAGTTAGTAAACATATAAGCTAAGTTCAGTTCCACATTAACTAGTGCAGACAAGAAAACAAATGGTAGGACATCTAGAGACATTTGACTGCATCTCTTGTGACTGACAAAAATGATCTCTCCAAATTTCAGAAATTTGCTGTCGCATGTCATGCTACTGCTCTGATTGGTTGATTTCTGAACCATACAAACGTTGTGATTGGCCCGCTGATCTGTCAATCATCGAAAAGCCGGCGCTGGAAGGTGGGGCTCGTGATGACTTGCCGCTTTGCTTTTCCTCAAGATGGCGGTGCTGCCACTGAGCTTATATGGGACCACCCCGACAATAAAATAATTTAGGAAGTTGTTTAAGTTGCCAGACCGTGAAGCGTGCGTCTTATTTATCAGTGAGTACGTCTATTGATGTATAACTAATTGCTTTTTGGCGTGCCAGCCTTTTTTATACGTACACCCGGCTTGTTAGCGCATTAGCTTAACGCTAGCGTTAGGAAAGGCCCAGTCAAGTGTGCTGTTCATTTTCTGCCACGTTTAGKTTGTTTTTATGAATCCGAATATAATTCAAGCATGTGTTAAGGCAAAGGAGCCCAGCTGTTTATATTGTTATTATCATTAATGCGACAGTGGCGTTATCTGACATATGTTCTCTGATCATTGTTTCTCCCTTTAGCTCCCAGATGGCCGCAGTGAATGATCAGTGCCTCTCTTCCAAAATAAGCTGAATGCATTGTGATTTCCAATAATTGAGACAGTGATTCTGAAAGCTGTCTACATTAATGAAAAGAGCAATGTAATCAGCTTAGCATATTCACCTCTGGTACGTGATCTATACAGAGTTTCTGCATGTGCAATCTTAACTGGAGACAAGACTCATTTTCAAGGATTTTAACGTAGTTGTCAGGTTTTAGCTTTTGATTAAGAGAAAATGGATTTAGATGATATTCTACCCCCTCTCCCCTTGGAGCCACCTGATGATTTTGGTCTAGACCAGGGCAGAGCACCTCCACCACCTCCCCTGCAAACGTCCAGTGACGCAGAGGTAATGGACGTTAGCTCTGGTGGTGATGGATACACATCCACCCCAGGGGAGGGGGAAGACGCGACACAGCAGCCCATCAGCAGGGGCTTAATAAGTTTCTGTAGCCACCTTTCAGACGAGGTCACTTCCAACCCACCATGCCCCAGAACAGCCCGCCACGCTCCCCAAGTCACCAAGTTTCTGCCAGACCTCAAGCTGCTTAGAGATGTAAAGATCAGCGTGAGCTTCACCGAAAGCAGCAGCAGCAGCAGCACCAGTAATAACACTAGCAGCAAAGACAGACAGGTTTTGTACACAGGTGAGGGGCAGGAGGCAGGAAGCCACAGTGAGTTAGGCAGTTATGACTTGCATGATCCTTCAAGTATCCTAGAAGAAGCTGAAGGGAGCTGTGGAGCAGGAAACTCCACAGGAAGAAAGTCTGATGAGGCTGAGGTAGACCTGGAAAACAAAGTGGAGTTTGCTGTCTTGGATGAGTTTGAGGACTTTTACGAGAACCTCTTGGATCAGGATGATGAGCACGGTGGCTTTAAGTCTGGCTCCATAGTTCAGCAGGAACAAGTGGACGACGAGGCTGTCTCTTTCGCCTATGAGGTACGTCTGAGCTTCTGTTTGCAGGATCCAGTGTCAATATCAGCAGTAAACCTTTACTGTTTTTTTCTTCCAGAAACAGCCCTCCTACTACAATTCATATTTTACTCCTGACTTGGTCATGGTTGATTAAATAAAAGCAGTTCCTATAATTTCTGCTCGGCTTAAAAAACAGATTGTTATATTATTGTAACAACCCTTGCATAGTGAGGTCCCCACATCTCTTGCAGTACATCTGCAAACTTTTGCAGCTTCTTTGCAACCGATACAAGTAAAGGTAGTATCACTGAGCTGCGACTCAGGAGATTACTTGGTCACTCAAAGTTGCGAGAGAACTTGTAAATCTTCTGTTGCGGCAGTCTCTTTTAAGTGTTTGTGACCAACACGCTGTAAAACCTGACCAGTGCCTTTTTTTAAATCTTGGCTTATCGTGTGCACAACTTTGAAAACTGCATATTTGGCCATGCACGTTTTACAATTAAACTGCTGGAGTACTCTTGAAATGAAGGAGGGGGGATTTGGACAACAAGGATTTGTCATCCATGTAGTTTTTAAACCATAACGTTTGTCTGAGGTGAGCTTCTGTGCAGGTGTAGAGCACACTAATGCTCCTGAGACACCTGTGATGACATTGGCTATTTCATGAGAGAAATGGTTGCACAAATTTTTAGAAACATGTTAAAACTCTTATGACAGAGCTGTACGCCTCTTCTACTTATGAAGTTGAGAACCATTTCTAGACATTTGGGAGCCTACAATTAACGTTCACCAACTAGTCACAGCCCAGCGAGGTACCACTTTTTTATTGGTAGGAAAGTGGGTTAAATGCTGAAATTATTGGAGCTGGACACTGTTTTAATTCCAAAGGTCTTGTTGAATGCAGTTGCTCTTGCTTATAGTAGACAAATGAAATGACATAAGACACCATTGGTTGTATTTAGTAAAAGTCTTTAATGAAATAAAGGGAGATGGGGTATCCAAAGAGCAGTAAATCTGCTTGTGTAATGAAAATGTAATCAGTTACTGAAGACATTTCTGCATCAGTTTGCCATACCTATTTAGGACTGGTCAGTTGTTCTGAGCAGTATAAATGTACATGTTCCTGCCTGTCTTTTCTCATTTTTTGTTTTGTTACTGAAAATAACAAGTGTGACGCTGGAAGAGGTTAGTGATACTTTTAATTTATCTCTAAACAATGAGTTTTATTTGAAGTTGAAGTAAATATTCACTGTAAACTTTCATTGCTTTTAAATTCTATTTCAGTACATGTTCAGAGGGTATTTTTATTTTAAATTCTTAAATCAGTTTTTTTTTACCATGAGAGAAACTTAACGATTCTTCTATTTTCCTAATGGATTGGTTTGTTCCTCTGTGAGTTGTATTGACAGGCATCCTTCAAGTTTTTTGGTTTGTTTTTCCTCCAAATGAAGACCGTCTGAAAGTTATTTGCACTGCTCTGCCACTGCTATCTGCCAGCCTTAACCGCTGACTCTTCCAGGAGGGGTTTGATAATGATGTTGACGCTCTGCTGGAGGAGGGCTTGCCCGTCCCCAAGAAGATGCGCCTCGCAGAGGACCGATATGCTGGAGACAGTGATCATCAGTCAGATGGTGAAGGAGGCGTTCAGCCCATGATGACCAAAATTAAGACTGTCTTGAAGAGTGAGTGGTTGATGGGTTTGAGTTCACTTGGTGCTGTCATGAAATGAACACCTGAATGTGGTTTATATTCAGTGGGTAATAATGTATTATAAAACAAATGTTACCATTTTTATTTCCCCTTTGTTTTTGAAGTATCTGCAACCAGTCTTGTACCAGTAACCCTTTTGAGGTACTTTATACAAGAAGTATATTACCATAAAATTATTTTGGTAAAAGTTAATCTCTAAAAACATTACTTGATCAAAAGTCCTAAAATATCTGACATTTACTGTACTTAAGACTCAAAAGTAAATTTCTGATATTAAATGTACTTAAGTATTAAGACGTAAAAGTATTGAGTAAAAATGAGTGTTTAGAATTTCCACCAATGATATTTATTGGGAGGTGACATCTCAAACTGTGCCTATAAGGTGTCAGAGTGGTTTACTTCTCATCCAACCAGAGTAAAATTCAGTCTATCCAGGAGGCACAATTTATTTGGATAGGTTTATTTTTTAACTATAAGCTGAAATTGAAACAAATCAAGATGAAATATGAGTAACCACTTTATTCTACTTACCTTTAAAAAATGGAAGCAGTAGAAAGTACAGATTGCATGAAAATGTAAGAAATGGAAGTAAAAGTTGGCTGAAAAAGTGAGTAAATTATAGATAAACAAAATTTTTATCCAAGTACAATAACAGAGTATGTATACTGTCAGCAGCAAAAGTTACTGACTCTTCGTGTTCATAAGTAGACACCGATATTGGCCACTTTAAAGAAATGCCTCTACATAATAATTAACCAAGTAGGATAATAAAGATGCAGCAGCAACTGCCATTTCGCTGTAGCCTACAATTATTCTGTAAGAGACATGTATATATTTTTAAATGCACAAGTATAAGGTCTTTATGTATGTGTTTATTTAAGCTAAGCTATTATTACCATCATCTTTGTCGTCGCAAAAAGCAGAAACACGTAAAACTCATAATAGTCAACCTCTTGACACACAAAGATTCTCTCTAAGATGATCGAGGAGCCTCTGAAATAGTGTTACTCTGCTGAATGTTTACACATTGAGTTTGACTTTATTAAACGTAATTAAAAATAATAATAATAAATGGTTTGTTCATAGTTTTCGTTAAATCACTAAGTAGCTGCCCCAGATGGTCTCCAACAAAAAAGACAGTAGTGTCATCTTCAAATAATATAATTTTCAAATTTGTTATCTAGCATAGGTCATTTATATAAATGATGAATAATTTAGCACCCAACACTGAACCCTGAGGAACTCCACAAGCAATGTCCAAACATTCAGACATCTTCTACTTGAACATCTTGTTTTCCAAATGTAGAAAAGTCAGTTTTTTCAATCTTTCAAGTGTGCGTGCTTTTATTAGCCTGGTTAAAACCAGCTCCTTGTCCTTCGCTTTACTTCAGAGAAGGAGCAGTGAAGGGAAACTAGCCGAACTGCATACGAAGACAAGGGCCAGGCTATGTTTTATTTAAATAATACAATTTAAAAAAGACAAAGTCTTGTATCTGTCCAGATTATTGGATCATTTTAACTAGTGAAAAGAAAGACAGTTGTTTGTCATTATTAACTGAATTTATTATTGTTTTTTTTTTTTGTTTTTTTTTTCTTTTACAGTTCAGTCTTTTACCAGTGATGGCCCAGGATGTACTTTTTCTCTTATAGGCCGTAGCATAACTCCGAGTACACGGGTTACATTATTTGAATAAACATTTTGTGTTGTGGCAGGTCGTGGCCGTCCTCCCACTGAGCCTTTACCTGACGGATGGATCATGACATTCCATAACTCAGGCATTCCAGTCTACCTGCACAGAGAGACCAGAGTGGTCACCTGGTCCAGACCATATTTCCTTGGAACTGGCAGTATTAGGGTAAGATGCAGCATGTTTTTGTGTCTGAGCAACAGAAAAATAAGTGAGCACAGGTGGTGGTCAACATCTTTCTAAACAGTTAGTCACACATTTAGTCCACTTCATGTCCACCTAGTTCAGGTGACCACAGCAGTTTATCAGCCACTGAAAGACTACTCTATTCTCTTGTTTCCAGTTTATTTTTAAACAATTTTATCAACTGTCTTATTCTAGGATGGAGAGTAACAAGTCACCTGTTCAAGAGTTATTTTGAAATTGCATCAACTGGTTGCTTGGCAAGGGAAATCATTGGTGAAGAAAATTTGTTTTATTATAAAAAAAAGTGGGGTGGGAGGGGGTTCATGTCCACCTTTTTATTTTGGTCACTTTTTAATTTTCCATTTACAAAACAGCACAAAACAATGAAAACAAAACAGAACAATCTTTAAATTCCTGTCAATGTGAAAAAGATGAGGTATATGTGAGAAATACAGACATTGTTCAAATGAGATTATTAGTTGTGTTACTGTTTTTGTGTATTTGACTGTACAAAGACACCCCACACTTTATTTTGGGTGTATGTTTTAGTTAGATTGTTCATTTCTGAGAGTACTGGTATTTACTGRATGTCACTGAATGCACCATGTGGAAAGGTTCTGAAACGGGCGTCTCTTGAACGTTATTTTACACCCGGACTCTGACCGCAGCAGAAGCACCGTGAGTGTGTGGAGCCAGTTTATATTCTGTGTGGAG